TTTTTTTGTCTTTACATACAAACCACCAATCATTAAGGTGTTGATTATATTTGTTGTTGAAACAACTCAATCTTATTTACTTTAATTGTAGCTATGCACTTTCTGACAGTTTGCATCTTGGTTATGCTGGTAGCTATGTTCAACATTGGGCATGCTAATGGATCAACATGCCGATGTACTTGTTGCAGTAGTGCTTATTGTACCGCAACATTGGTAGGAAACATTACGGTATCATCATGCTCCAGTTGTTCGACTTCATTATGTCAATCAACATATAATTCAACATGTGTTTCCTTTAACGGTGTGACAAGCTCTTCTTGTGCAGATAGTAGTGGTAGTAGTGGTAGTAGTGGCAGTGGTGCATTTAGTTTGTCGGAATCAGTACATGGCACATGTATTATGATAATAATGATTGTTCCACTAATGATATATCAAAAGATCAGAATGTGAAAAATCCAACAAGAACTATGAAACTACGAACTTTTATTTTCTAATTTTATTTACTCTGGATTTTATTCTATTTAATGTCCACTTACTATTTTCTCTTTCTACTGTTCTCTGTTATTCACGCATTCAAAACATTCGATCAATAAAACATATGACAAAGAATATTTCACATGAGAAAAATACTAAGAACAAAATGAAACGTATAACGTGAGCCCATCCTAGTAATTCAGTAAATGAAGAATCGCATTTCTTAAGACGTTCAATTATTTTTATGATTCAAAAATGTTTATATAATTGATCAGAGCAAATAAATAAAACAACGATAAAGCGTTAATGAAGTACAATACTATGACATTTTGATTTGCATCGAATAAAGTATATATGAGTTCAGACCACATATGAACTGCGAAGAACTATGCATACTAGGGGTGCAATAAATCCTAGTGAAGATTTAAATTTAGTATCCAATTCTTTGGATTTGGTCTCTTGAGTGTCGGCTAAAAGAATATCCACACCCATACTATCAAGATGGTGGCATTTATATCGATCGCGGTCACTCAATGCAAAAAAATATTCTAATAAGTAACAAACCTATACTTTTTTCGATAATAAGTTTTTCTTTTGAATCTCTTCGCCATCCAGAGAGAGTAATCTAGTGAGTGCATGTGGATGTGGGTTAAGAGAAAATAAACACCCACACCCTCACCCTCATACCCACATCCACCCTCGATCACTCACAGAACAAGAATATTCCTGCAGTTTTTTATGCACTGTAGCAGTCTAATCGATCTATTGAATTGAAATCACATATTACAGATACTAGACAAAAAACTATTCATCGATAAAGACTATGCTACTTGGTGTTCATAAGCAGTAAAAATTATGAGTCATATCAATAATGAAAATTTGTTGTATTGTCTAATAAAACTGTCACCATTCGAACACCATGTCCTGGTACATTACTAGCTTGCCAAGTTTCATTAAATTTTCCTAAATCTTGATGAAGCCAAAGATCTCGAATTGAAACAGTCCAGATTGGGTAAGGTGGATGAGGTGATAAAGCATTCCCAAATAAATCCTTAAAATCTAACGTTATATTCGCCGTAGTATTCAATCGATTTAATAAGACAACGGCATGAAAACGTGGAGGAGTAAAACGTAATGTATGATGTGTACTATCAAACTGTGACATATTTTGATGATAAATTGATTTTGCCCAGACTTCATATGAGCCATCTACTGCTCGTCGAATCATATTTCCTGATCGACCTAATTTATCTTGATTGATTGCAATCACTTCTTTATTCATTAAAATATTTCCTATTTCTTTGCTCATTCTTCTTATATCATTTCCTGCAATTAAAGGTGAACTCATTAAAGCCCATAATGAAAATTGTGCAGTATATTCTTCCAGTGTTTGGCCACCTAAACCAACTGTTAAAATATCTAAATCATTCCAATATCCTGGTTGAGATGCATAATAAATATTTGCTGCATGATCTAAAATAGTCACGGTTGATATCCATTCATCATATATATCAAACCAAATTCGAGCCATATTACAATATTCTGGTGCCCATAGAAATGGAAATTCTAAATTATTTTCTTTTAATATTAATTCATCACTATCACAACTATAGAGAATTGAATGATTTTGTATTGATAATGCTTTTGACCAACTGATAAAAGCTGTAGCTCGATCTTTGACATTATCTTGATAGCAACAATCTAATTTGAGAAAATCAATATTCCAATTAGCGAATACTGCTGCATCAAGATATTCATGTTGCCACGATCCAGGATATTGTTGACATGTATATTCACCTGAACTTGTATACATTCCAAATAGTAAACCTTTTGAATGAATATAATCGGCTAGAGCGCGCATACCATGTGGAAATCTTGTTTCATTATATTTTAACATTCCAGTGATAGGATCACGAGAAGAAGCTTCCCAACAATCATCGATATTTAAATATTTATATCCGGCCGATAACATTCCACTAGAAACTAGCATATCAGCCATTTCCATTAGATCTGTTTCATTATAATCACAATGAAATACATTCCAAGTAGACCAACCCATTGGAGGTGTTAAAGCTAAACCATTGTTTAAACTCGATATAAAAAGTGGATTTATCAATAATATTAACCAGATTATAAATACCATGATGAATTGTGTTATTTCTAGAAACAAAACACAAGAGTATAAACATCTATAGTCATTACGGGTTATTGGAACAATAATTGCCTCAATCTTCACTAACTCAATGTTTATTTCAGAAAGTGGTATTTGAAAACATTTTTCAAGTTTAATGAGTGGTTCATAAAGAATTATACCATTAGTATTTTCAAAATTTGCCCTATAGTATCTCTCTATTTAAAATATTTTTTGTATCAAAATATATGTATGTGTAGATTTGAAAGTCACTTTAAATATATAACAGAAAAGATGACAATTAAAACTATCGAAAGGTTAGCAGCTAAAACGAATATTACGTGGGAATCTTGGTTATTTTCCATACAAGAAAATTTTTAATTCAAACAAATAGAGAAGACTATATTCGTTAAATAAAATATGACATCTTGTTCAGAATACCATCCGCTATTTTTTCATAAAAAAGTGTTTTGGTTATAGAGATAATAGAGGAGAAATTTGGAAAATACTAATGGTGTAATTCTTTACAGCCCATCCATTATTACTCAGTTTTTTCCATCTAGAGTGCAAGCCGACAACGACTCGAACGTTTAAACTTTGTTTGGCAATGCGAATGAGAATAGGCGAGAGACATTTTTTCATAAGTCTCCATTCTATAAATCTGTAATTCTGTTTTGAAGAGTCCTTGGAATCAAATACTCATGTAATACATACCTCTTTCTACGACAATGTAAAAGGTAACTGGTCTTATTTATTAAATTTCACTATGAAAAGAAGCAGCAACAAAGTCTTATCAACACGCACACCTTTGTTGCATAAATATCATTTTTAATACTGATAAGATACAAGTCCTCACATTTTTTTAAATAAAAAATGTATGAAGAATATTTCAATGAGCAAATATTCTTTATAACGAACCGTTCATTCACGTATTGCATCATTTTGCTGCGGCTTATTCTTTGCTATTGATGATAGTTAACCATTGATTTTTAATATTCAGAATACTTTTGTTTCATTATTTTTTCATGTGTACTTCTCGTATTTATGAATATATTTTAATTAAGCTTGGTTGTTGTTATCACACCTTCTAGGGACCCGCTTATAGATGTTAAAGATAGAATTTCAGTGCAAAACAATAACTTATTAATGCGGAAAACTTTCACTCATGTAAGCATATAGTTGTCATATAATTCCATTATAGGCTAATTACGTTATTTCATATAGTTTTGTTTTGTTTGCTATATTGCTGCAAATAGATGGTCTCATGATTTATTTTGAATGCTTGCAACATTTCTCATTTATTTTTGAATTTAAACAACATCAAACGAAGATAAAATGTATATATAGAATAAATTAAAAATGAAGAACCTAATTAGGAAAATATTAAGTTATAGTTAAACTCTATTGATGACAATTGCTCTTTACGACTGTGGTGCTACTTGATTAAGAACCATTGCCGGTTGTCGCCTGAATCGCTTCAAATGAATTTTGAACAAAACATAGATAAATTGTCGACGAAATCTTTCCGATACACATATATAAATATAAAATGGATTCTACAATAATAACAAAAGAGCAATCAAGGTCAAATTTGTTTCTAGAAAAATCTTATTAAGTGACACTTACTGCTAAATGAGTGTAGTAAAGGATAAGAGTTATGTTATTAGCCAACTGAATTTGTGCTTGAATAATGGGATCACTATTTAAGTTTGTATTCAATGTTAGAGCATTCGCAATACTATATGGTGAAAGAACGAAGAAATTTATAAGAACTTGTACTAAAACCATTGCTGTTAATTGCTTGTCTAATTCTCTTCGTACAAGTGGTACTGTATAGAAAGCTAGTTGTCGTACATTATAATAAGACATTGATCCAAATAAAACTGTAATAGTAATAGGAAGAAACCCTTGAAAAATAAGAACAACAACATAAGCTCTATATTGTAAATAGATATAATTTGTCGCAATACAACTGATTTTACCAGTAAGCGATACACTATAATTGAAAAAGAAAAAATATGGAATGCCATGTAAAAGCCAAATAGACATAAATATAACGGATAAACGTCGAGCTACTTTTATATTAGCCATTTGCCGTAACCATACACGAGAACATGTAGCACAATATTGATCGATTGTTGCTAAACAAAAACATGTTAAAGAAAATACTGTACAAAATTGAGAAAAGAAAAAACGAAATTTGCAATATATCAATGAACGATCAGTTCCATCACTTCCATATACATTAATCATAATACGTGATAATACATTAAAACATAATTGAAATATATTGACAATGGACATAATAATTAAGTAGATGGTACATGAATTTTGTCGCATTGTTCGCAGACTAACAAATATAACTATATTAAAAAATTCACCTACTATACCAGCAATAAATACGAGTATTCCACCATAGATTGTCACTTGTTTTCCAGCAAATGCTAATGAGGAAATGATTGATGTCGACATCTCAACTTTATTAGATATTCTTTGGCAAAAGAAAAAACGTCCTTATGTTTCTGTGTTTATATATAAAGTGAAAGAAGAAAAATCTTTGTAACAATAAGTTAATTTTCAGGAGTTAAAAAAGTTTAGCGCATTCATCCGATCATGTTCTTCTGCTCGGCATAATAAACATGCAATGTAAGTTTCTCATCGTATTAGAGGCGTTACTTTATCTTTACTCTATAAATAAAGATTAAGTAAATCTTTATCTTTTTTCTTATAAAGAATAAAGATAATCTTTATTTTTATAAAATAAAGAAATTTTTTTCTTAAAAACCTAAACTTTTATCATTTCCTAACATTGTTCCATATTAGAATGTGGTTGGTGATAGAAAAAACCTGCGATCAATATTACCTATTTACCGATCACTTAAAAATATTTTCTTTATTCTTTATTGCAATGATATAAACGCCTATATTTAACATTAAAAAATTTTGTACGGAATAAATCAGTGCATTTTATATTCTAACAGCCTTGTTATTTATCGCATGTTTATTATTTCCATTATTGTTTTACTCGGATAAATCAAATTAGTATGATACATTACGATGAGGCAAAAACCGAGCTATTTATAATGTCTAAGTAATATCGATATGACGTTAAATGTATCCAACGTATTTCTGTTTGTGAACTTATGCGTATCTAATTCTTTATAATCTTTATTTGTTACATTTAGTTCTACTGCTTTTATATATTGACGTTAATCGTACAAAACAAAAGAATATATATACAAATGAATAGAAGCTAAATGACACTTATAATTATTTTATGAGAAAATATGTTTATCAGATGTAGGGTATGTGGATCGAGACAAATTATTTGATTGTGGTCATGATTTTTATAAAGAAAACGCTAAAATTTGAAGTAGTATAATTACCAAGTAGATTTTCTTCTTCATTATAGATCAATATTGTATCATGTTCTAGCACATGTAATTTCATCTTGAGAAATATTTCGTAATTATATGAAAGAACGCAAGAAAGGTAATGACGACGAGCAATAATACATAAAAATATTATTATTGCGTTCTATCAAGAAAATGACAGTTGGTTTCTCGAGGATGAAAGAAAAATACATATGAAATTTTTCATTTCTTTAATACGATCTTTCAATGCTAACACGCATCATCATCATAATCAGACAATTTATTAAAAAAGAACTATATAATATGATTAGATTGTTATACAAAATTAATTATTATGTTAAATTATTAGGAAATCTATCGCATAATAGAAGACTTGAAATCTTCTAAAATAACCCGTTACACTTTTTAAATTATTTATTCAAATATTTTTCTGTATTTGTCGTATAATTAACGCGTTAAGATCTGATTTGTATACATTTCGATAGATATATTTTCTCCCTCACGAGGTCATTATTTACAATATATTGATATGACCCATACTGAATGATATTCATAGTAATTTATTGTTAGTATTTAATTAAAATGCAGTCTTTAGTAATAATATTTTAATTTTACTGAAATCAATGATGATGATGATGATCGTGATCATGATGGTGATGGTGATGGTGATGATCATCGTGGTGATGATGGTGATCATAATGTTCACCACTAAATCCGCCAGAGAACTGACCACCAGGTGGTCGTGGATATCCACCACCAACTTGACCAGGATATCCACCACCCGCTTGGCCAGGAAATCCACCACCAACTTGACCGGGATATCCACCACCAGCTTGACCAGGAAATCCGCCACCAGGTGGTCTTTGAAATCCACCACCGGGTTGACCAGGAAATCCACCACCCATATTGTTACCACCTCCAAATCTAGGTCCACCACTGCCATACGATTGGCCGGGTGTTGGATTAGGATTTCCTCCCATCATATTATCCAATTGTTGACCCAGCGAACCTACAAAATGCATTTGTAATATGAATATACCATAGTAACTTACTGTTCAATCCTCCTGGGACATTTCGTTCGATCCAGTCATCAGTTATGCGTTCGGACATATTGGCTCCGGGATTGTTTGGTCCTCCTTGCATGTTTAATGTATAGATAGATAAATGTATATGATCACTTTTTTTATACAGAATACTTTGTTTTATTTGCTTATTATATATGAAGAAAAAGAAAATCGACGAAGCATGCCTTTCTTTGATTTAAAGGTAATGCGTGGATTAATTACTCATTTATCCAAGTATCGACTACAAACGATAAATGACGACATCTTGTTTTTATCAAAGTAAAAGAAAAAGCGTCTTCAATACTTTCTTGAGAAATAAAACGTATTTACCTCTCTACTATTACGAATAGTTTTGATCAACATAATTCTTCACTTAAATTACACTACACTCAGTTTATAGAAATGCCTATTAATATACCTAATGTCACAATCTGCAATCATATAATAAACAAATATAATTTTTACGAACGAAAAAAAGATATTATTCAAAATTTTTAGTCAAGATTAGTAAAATGATGATCACATTATAATAATTTATTGACATCATTCGAGACGTTTAAACTATAATTTAATATTATAAGTAGGAAAAAAAAGACGCAAGTATGACCGATAAATGAGAATAATAATCCTTCACACTCAGTGACTCATCATAGATAATTTTTGTTGTTGTGTTATGATACTATATAAGTAATCCACGTGATACTAGTAGAATAACAAAAATGACATTCAGCTACTATTTTTATTTAACTCCGTTTTTCAATTGACACTATTTATCCATTTGTTCATGTGAAGTATTTAATTTTGTTGAAAACAAATTGAAAATTTTCCATAGATGAGTTTTAGAATTATATTGTAAAATACAACTCAAATCATTAACTAAATGTATATAAAGTTTAAACATATTTGGATCTAGACCATAACCTTTTATTTCAATTTTACAATCACTATATTCAGGATGTTTAGGATAGTCAATGATTTCCCAATCACCTTCAACATCAGTAACAGTCCATGGCATTTTAATGTTCTTATTTAAATCAAAAGTTAGAAAAAGAAAGCAGCTGTCACCTGTATTTCATAATATAGTTTCAGTTTTTGTTACTATTTTAAAAAGACGAAAAGTTTTGTAGTTATTTATATAATCAACTGTAGAGAAGCGATTGCATCAGAAGAATAATAAAAAAAACAAGGTGCGTAATATCAATCGCCGAGTGGTTTGGTTAAATTACTGTATTAACTATATGTAGACATAGAACTGTTGAAAGTTAAAAATACATATTCATACATAGAATATCGAGAACTAACAACATCAATAATATACAATATTTTACAATTATTTATCAAACTGAAAAATATCACTTTTGCTTTTTTTTGTCAACATGTGAAAATTTGATTTACGTAATAAACCATCAGTTTGTTAATTCTATCACATATTATAACAAAGAATACGTATAGAGGTACATCAGTGTTTTCTTAAGAATACTTTATCTAATAAATTTAATATCTGACGCGTTTAAAGTGTGTCTCAAGTAAGAGATATACATTATAGACTAACAATTCATATGTAATATATGGAAAGAATAATTGCATTATTGCATCACTTGGTAGTCTTTTTAACTCTCAAGTTTGATACTATTTTCATTTACTAAAAGAAAATGCGTTAACATAGTCTGAGAGAAGCTATTAAAGTTATAATGGATCAGTTCAAAAATACTTGTTACAATTTGACTAAACTAAACATAATCGATACAGAGACAAATAATGAACATATCAAACGAAATGAAATTCTATCTACAAGAATTTATATAATTATTTTCATTTTAATATTGTCTCTATTTACTATATTCATATCATTATTATCAATAACAGAATAAACAATTACAATTGATTATTTGTTTTATAAAAATACAAGTTATTATTTTCAACTTGATTTTCTGCATAGTACTTCATTTAAATTCACACCCATCTCAGCAAGTGACGCAATATTTAAGCAAACATTTATCAGTATTCTTTATTTGAGAAGATGACCATGCTAGTAACGGTGAATATGAAACGAAAAAAAAATATTATAACTCTTATCTAATGACGAAAGGTAAACTATGACGAGTTAACTGATGCGATATTCTCTAAATATAAAGGTAAGCCTGTTTACATCTTTTTGTGTAGTATTTCATTTTTTTTTGAAAGTGTAGGTTTTTCAACAGTTTTATTAGATTTAGTGGACCACCCTCATATTGATTATTTCATTGTTTGAATCCGTACAGGATTTAATGATGAAAGTATTTCAAAGTATTTTTCGCATATTAGAGACGTTTTTTTGACATTCACATAGTATCACCTCAGTCGACTTGTATGAAGAATTTTTTTGTAATCTGAAGACAAAAGCAATTCTGAGTTTTAATGAAGACCAAGATCAGACGGAAGAAGCGATTTAGCAGATCCCTAGTAAGATCATTGGACATCAGATGTTTAGAAATTGAGTGTAAATGCTTTGAAATTAGAACTTCAACATTACTAACTAAATCTGACTCTATCATTGAAGATATATCATTCACTCAAGCTTTAAGACATTGATTATCCATGTCCATAAATGACGGCGATATCGATGGAAAGTTGGTCTCTGATTACAAGAAAACATTCAGTCAGACAATACAACATGCAGGCAGCGACATGAATATTCAACTCCATCCGGGTAGATCGTTATACGATGAACTTGAACAACGAGGATTACTGGAACGTTCACGGATGCCAACTGGACTTGGATATAATCTCATCCAAGATGGAAAACTCGGTTTAGCGATGTTCAATCGCAGTCCGAAATTTTTAGCACCTGGTCGATACACATTCTACTCTCCATTTAATCACTTAATCAGTGTAGTCAGCATTACAGACAAAGTTATCACATTAGGTAATATTCAAATCGTGACAATCAATCAAGGAGAACTTGGATTAAGTCTTCGAAATGGAGAAAGTATTTTGCTCGATCCTGGTCGCTACATTTTAACTGCACCACATATATTCGAAAAGAGTACTCCAGCCAATGCACAGTACATCGAATTGGGAACGTACCGTCGAATAACTGTACCAGTCGGATTTGTTGCTGTAGCATTCGATATTGGTAAGCAGATTATTATTCGTCCGGAAGATACTGAAACAGGTCCATTCGAAACCAATTCACCTACATTTCTATTCGATAAGAAAACTGGTTTTCAATCAGTTCAACTTCAAGTAAGAGAGCTTGATCAATTGGTTGTCAACACTCGAGATGGAATCACCATTATAGCAAAAGGTCTTATTACCTATCGTATTCATGATCCACGAATAGCATTCATGACTGTACAAGATATTCATGGAGCAGTGAAACGGGCAGCTGAAGCAACACTTACTTCTCTCTTTCTCAATGCTGCAATCGATGAGATAGCACCATCGGTTCCAACGAAACCAACAGACAAGGAAATAACAAGTGTTACATCGGTTTCAGAAGAGAGCAACTTCAATCAACATATTCGTGCTGCGTTTCTACATGATTTTTCACACAAGGTGAGTCGATGGGGTGTCGAATTACAGGACCTGAACATTGAAAAATTAGAATTCGACAACAGTGTCAAAGATCTTTTGCGAAAAAGAGCACAAGCTCGCGTCGAGACTGCTACTAGTCTCGCAAATATGCGTTCTCAAACAGATATTGCCATGCAACAGGCTGATCGAGAAAAGCAACAAGCACAAATTCGTGCAGAAGCTGAAGCATATGTCATACGAACGAAGGCTGATGCTGACTATTATGCTGCCGAACGTCATGCTCAAGCTGCTAAAATTTTACAAGAAGTACCGTTATCAGCTCAAATTGAACTCAAGAAACTTGATGTTGAAATGATAAGAGCCACAGGTGATAGAACGACATTCCTACCGATGAACCTCCACATCGGAGACATCGGAATGATTGATAAACAAAATAGTAAGATGTATTTTGCAACAAACGCTGTCGCTAATACATAAGACTAGTTTGAGTCGAAATTGGTGAAAAATACATGAAATATTCTATTGGATATTTTGTGTTAATGTTTGGCAATTATTGATTTTATTTTATTTTTATCCTTTTCAATAAATTCGTAAACAAGAAATGTACAAGAGAAAAATAGTTTCATACAATTCAAATGTAAGATACATAGTCATTAGACTTGTGTTAATGTAAAGATGCAAAAATATGAAATTACGTACATTCGTTATCTGAAATCGATCAAATGATGGTATAAGAGGTGAATAACCAGTTACATAATTTGGTATACCAAAGACAAATATTGGGTGTGGGTGTATCTTGTTCACTCATATCTACATTCTCTTTCAGAAATGTAGAACACAAGTATAGGCATGTTTATGATGTTGAAAAAGTATCTATCACGTTTTGTGAACAAGAGAACGTTAAGTCCAGATTTGTGATTCAGTACTCTTTTTAGATTATGTTTCACAAAATACCGAACTATTTTCTTATCTAGAAAAATTCATATAAAACTATAACATCTATAACTTCGTTTTATTTGAAGAAAGTTCTTTCAATTTTATATTAGAATTAAGATAGTCTTTAGTAAATACTTAGATGGATAGAATGAAAAACTTTTGTAGTTATAATAGAATAAAGATATTTTAAATAAAATCTCAACAGTTTTTAATGATTAAAACTCGAGAGTCAACTTACTGGTATATACAAATATGATGTTAACACATTTCTAGGTGAATCTCAAACTGGTTAGAGTTAGAGAAGATTTTTCATCATTTATAAAACTAATATACAATCACTGCTGTTGAACATTCTACGCATTTAAAAAACTTGAGATTGGGTATTATATTTGTCTATCATCCATACTATACAAGATTGGTTAACTTCGAATATCGGTAAGCATGAACTAGTTAATGTTATTTCTTTTTCTTTTAGGACTTATGAAAATATTATAATCACTGCCATACACATCGGTTAATGAACTTGATGGGATTTTCAATAGGTTAAATTCATCTTATTTAGTGTTTTCTATTACAGATATATACCCGCGAAGAGTATCATTCTGTAAAAGATACGAAATGAGTCACCGAAATATAACTTTACATTTCTTTATTTCTTGAATATAAACACACAATACATATTTTGAATTATTTCGGCAAGCTTAGTATTCACACAATAAGTTTACTAATTGTGATGCATCGTCGTGCTCACATTCATTTGGTATTGATTAGCTCTTCTTGAGTAGTCTCTTTAATGAACCTTATTGTCTCGAATGTGTGCGTTGAATACATTTTTTTGAACAAGATAATTAAATAGGAGAGATTCATTTTTGATTGTGTTCTTTTTTATTTGACAGGATGTTGTACGATGCCGACTTCCTTGTTAGTTGAACTAACTACGCAAAAGAGCCGTCGTACTAATGATTGATAATGAACTGATACAAATCCTTATACATGGCTTATAATTTTGAAGACAGATAATTGTGAATATCATGGCGTGTTTTTTTATCAGCGTAGAGTAATCATAAGCTATAGTGTAGTAGCTTCCACAACGGCTCACAGTAAAGACGTTTTTTGGTAGACAAAGTGATGACAAACAATAGTTTCATGAACGATTCTGCAGTGTTTGGTAGTAGTGAGGTGCCTATTCCTCGGCTAGTTCGTTTCTGGTTGTTGCTACTAATGGATATTCCATCACTTGGCTGTACTCTCTTTCTACTCTATCATCTACTTTCCAAGCGAAATTTGAGAAAAGCATTAAACAATCATGTAATCATTGTGCTTCTCATTCTCGCACTTACATCTCATCTTATCGATATTCCTTCGTATATCGCTTTTGTTTATCTGGGTTATGTCTGGTTAGCAAGTCCAGTTTTCTGTTCCTTCTGGTCATTTGTAGATATAGGTCTATTCAATACGATAGTTATGTTGATGGCTATTGGTGCAATTGAACGACATATTTTAGTTTTTCACAGTGGATGGAATCGAACATACAAGAGACGACTTCTTTTTCATTATTTTCCTTTTGCGATTATTATTATTTATTCTGGTTTATTTTATGTGGTTGCTATTTTCTTTTCTCCTTGTGAAAATATATTCGATTACAATCAACCATGGTGTTCTTATCCTTGTTATTACAACATCACAGTACTAGCGATATATGACACTGTGATAAATACCATTTTACCTACATTATTGAATGTTATCTTCAGTATTGCTCTTCTTGTACGTCATATTCGTCAAAAGCGTCGTATGCAACAAGTACTTCAATGGAGAAAACATCGAAAAATGACCATTCAGATGCTTTTAGTATCAACTTTACATCTTGTTTTCCAAATGCCTGTATCCATTCTTATTACTGCTCATCTCTGCGGATTGCCAGCAGAGATAGGTGCCGACGCTCAGCTCTACACATATTTTTTTACTTACTTTATTACTTTACTTATACCATTCGTCTGCCTTGCTGCTTTGCCAGAACTTTGGAAGAAACTCACGTTATATTCACCACTGTGGATGAAGGAACAACAACGACGCACTGCAACTGTCTTACCTATTGTTAATCTCAATGGATTGTGACAACTAATATACTTAATATAACATCGTTGTGATTAATTACTTTTTTGTTTCGAAGAGCAAAAAAATCAAAATCAAAAATTTCCTGAAACATTCTAGCAATCATGAGCGGTACAACGTTGATGTTTTAGTAAAGCATTTGTGCATAGGATCTTCCTGGAGCGCTGCTTGTTTCTATATGAGCAGCTACCCAGGTGGAAAAATCAGACATCAGACTGTAGCCATACAAGATTTTTCGTAGCTTTGGACTTTGAAAAATACTATTTCATATCAACCATTTAGTTATCAGAGTGATTCATTGACGACATTCCGACATAACTTAGAAAAATACTATCTGCAAATTGACTTTGAGAAGAATATATACGTCATCGTATAATAACACGTTCCGCATTAATTTTTTTTGAGATCTTATATTACACGAATACCTTCAAACACATAGATTTTTATATTATAAACAGCAAAAGTACCAGCTAAGATCAATAAATCACAGCAAAGAAAACTTCAACAAAAAACTCTGTGTATTTTGTAGATATGTGACTCAATAATTCAATAACAACAATTAACGGACCATGTGGATGTCGAAAAAAATATTTTAGTTTCTATATGTATTCAGATATATTTTCTTTGTAAATAAGTAGGAATTGTTAAACAAGAAGGGGTGTGGGTGTGGGTGTGGGTATTATTCAATCCACACACACCCTAGTAGAAGCCGTTCGTGGGACGTTTAAATACCCATGGATCGGTACCTTCTTATGAAATGAAATGATAGGATGTATTCACAGTAATGTAATTATTGACGGATTACAAAGAATTGAAATGAAATGTTTCATAATTTTTTAAATATTTCCTCGAAGCTAAAGTAACGGAATATAAAAGGAGAAACAGTGTACCAAAAAAAAACACGACACGTGTCATCATTGTCAAAGCACAACTGTATATCATCTCTATATATACCTGTATACTTACATTGCAGTTTACAACTATAGCAAATATCACTCAACTTACACGTTTTTTGTTTCTACCAACTAAGAAGCAATCACATACAATAAAATAGTTTCTGTCGTAAAAATTGATGATGAATCAGAATGATTATTCCAACTTTTCTTATAATGTATAATCTTCTTTTAATTATAATTTCAATATGCAGTAAATATACTGTCAGATTATATTTTTAAAAAATCTAACTATCAACATAAAACTAATTGAGGGATAGATATAGGTCTGAGTATTATACGTATCATCCACCCACACCCACACCCACACCCACACCCACACCCACACCCACACCCTCATCATGATATATTAGGTTTTTTCCATCGTTCTGTGTGCATATTATTCCTTAGATTTTTCCATTTGTTTGTGATGTGTCATTAAGTTCTTTCCTTTTTTTCTCTATTATAATTTCCAATATTACTCGTTCGTTTTCTTTTTTCTTTTCTATCATAAAGATTAGTCAAGACTCACGTGTACAATAAATACATATCTTTCTTAATATATTTACCCAAAGGTATGTATGTCGCCATCATGAGTCATGTCTTCTACAATCAAAAATATACGAGAGATGATCACTAAATCAACATAGAATTCTCTTTCGTATGATGCAATATCGAGACTAGGAAAAGACGGAAGAAAAGACAAATATATTAATGTTTCATTTACTGTGCGTATGTACATAGAAATAAGAGACGTCTGAAAAGAAAGTAAGAATGATTTATTATTTCACTATTTTATCTTAATCCTTCTCAAATATCAAGTAAATAATTATATGAGAAATTAATGAGTGTCTTTATTGTTTTTTTCCAAATGACTAGTTAAGTATATATATGTAAATAAAAGGATGAAAATGAAATTTTAATCATCTTTCGTAATTCAAATCGATATGAAATTTATTATAGAAAATTAATCAAACAACATGCCACGACAACAAAGTGATGATAGCAAATCTCAATACACTTCTGCGCGGAATGGATTACGCGAGTACTTTAATGGGCCCATATATTTACTCATTATCAAGATCCCCCTCTTACTTATTGGAGCTATTATTTATATGGTATATCACATTATCAAGACTATATTTGTAAAATTGATTACAGCTATTTATAATGCGGTGCAACAAATTGTACAGAAATTCCTATGGATTTATATTGATATACTTTTACGATCTTATCGAATCATCATAAGGATTCACTCATTCATTTTTACTCAATTTTTACCAACAACTTATAGATTTGTAAAATGGACCGTATACATAATTGTGTATTACTTGGATCAATTTATTCTGTATATCGATCGGTGTTTAGTAAAGATTATTTATTTCGTGTGCGATTACAATGCTATGGTATGCAAGTATGTATTGTTACCTTTATGTTGGATAGTTGTTACATTTATCTTACACGTTAGCAATAAAATCTTTAAACTCATGATTCCATGGATAAATCCAATAGTGAAAATCATTCCGTATAACTTAATGAAGATCGTTTTCCACGCAATTGTTAATATTTGTATTGAAAGTCCAGTGATAACATACAAATTTATGAGACGAACTGTACAAATAATTGTATATTACTTAGATCAATTTATTTTGTATATCGATCAGAGTTTGGCGAGACTAATTCGCTTTGTTCGCATTGGTGGCCAATGGGCATTGTGCACAATAAAAATGATTTGTTATAACTTGGTGAAATTCTTCTTCTACATTCTCACTTATCTTTCATACGCAATTATTAACTCTTATAATGTTTTCGTATTAATCTACAGAAAATATCTGCTGTCTTACTGCAATATTCTTATACAGATTTATTCATATATTCATCATGAAGTTTTATCAGTAGTAGGTAGATTTGCAATGCAAATCTTACAAACAATTTGGTATTGGTTAACTTACTTTATTCTCTATGTTACTAGAATAGTCTATGGATATGTATTGTTATCGTTTTATCGTACAGTCATCAGATTCTTGTTGTACATTAACAATGAAATGTTAAAACCTATAGTTCAGCGAATAATTTTCATAGTGAAAATCATTTCTTATTATTCTATGACCGTCATTTGTAACATGATTACGTCTGTATCAGACAAAATTATATATTATTACGATATCATTGTGTCCATCTATAGACAACATCAGATACCTCTTTGGCATGCTCTTAAATCAATATGTTCGTTTATCTACAGCGAAATTTTAAGATCAATCAACAAAGTCATTATCTTAATGCGACAATTAATTTTCTTTAGATTCTACGAACTCATTTTGTATCCTATAATTTGCTACAATTCCATCTTTAACTCACTGGGCAATGCATTGTCTACAATGTCATCCGCAGTTATGATTATAGTATACGATGTAATAAATATGATTCGTCAAGCATTTATAGCATTATCCAATGCTGCTATGAACTTGTTTTATTATTTTATTTAATTTTCCTTTTCTTCTGTCATTATTCGCTCTACTCTAATATTCCCACTTCTGGTCAGCGTTTAGGGTGTGGATGCTGTTCTTATTTCACACTCACACGCTACAAAATGAAAAAAAAATTCTATTAAATTGCATTGGCAAGATAATTCTTTGATTTAATCAAAAAAAGTACAGTTAAAGAGAACGGATCGAAATATTTCTTTGAAGTATGTGGGTGTGGATGTGAGTACAGAAGAAACCCACACCACAAATATCCTCATGTTACTCAAAAGACATTATGACGCCGTTAAATAATGTGAAAAGATAAAGAAAATCGCTGGTTTTATTCAGAAAAAACACGAGTATACATAGATAGAATGAATAGAGATTGACAATGGATTTAAGTTCAAGAAAGATCATCCAGGAACATAAGTACCTGATGCGCGAAAGAACAGAAAGAAATATATTAGAGAGAAGAATATAACTATGTAAAAGACATAATGCGCACAAGCGTTCTACACTGATAGTGCATCTTATATTTTTCTTCACACAAACGCACACCAGTATTTATTTACTATTTGCTGATACAGAACGTAAAAGAAAGAAATGTTCGTGCAATATTACTTACTCATTTTTTTTTGTATCTACTGACGAGTCGAGAGAATACGTGGTCTAAAACACAATACGAAATAATGTCTTATCAAGTAGTTTCAACTTTGCCGCTTAACGGTGTTGAGAAGTTTATGTGCGTGGATGGTGGATGGAATACGATTGCACATACTGCTCATTTGACTGGAAACCCTTCAGTACTGATTAACAACATGGCGAATACTGTTCAATGTCTTCTAAAACGTCATCCGCGCATGCGCACACGTATACGAGTAGATGAAAACCAATATTTCATCGATAATCTTGAATACAATCGTGAGTATCTACCGAGCGATTTGTTCGTGTCAGTTACCGAAATGACTAACGAATCGTGGCAAGAAGTCGTCGAATCTGGATGCAATCGTGATCCCTATACAAACAATGGAACAATCATTTTTCCAACTTTTCGTTTCACTATTTTAGTCAATCCCCAACCGACTGATGTTCAATCGTTTCATTTGATTCTCTTTCAAAACCATTGCGTTTCAGATGGTCAAAGTGGATTTATACTTATCAACGATTTTCTTACTTTAAGCACCAGTCCAAATCTAATGGAAATCTCTGAGCCACTCAATACAGAAATACTTCCGTTGATTGGCTCGTTAATTCCTCGTCCATATGGTCCACTCTATCATGCAATGTCGTTCATTGCCAAACGAATCATTCTAAAAGAACTACGTCAATTAGGTCAGCCACGTATTCCTGTCAAAGTAATTCCTCATGACGAGTGTGAATTAACACGATTTCAGGTTCAACGCTACAAAATGAAATTTTTATTTGCATCGAGTTCTACTGATCTTTTTTCTAAATTACATCGACAAAGTCGATTGCACAACGTAACATTAAATGGTCCACTTCTAGGATGCTTTCTGTTGGCTATTCATCACTGTTTTCCACTTAAAGACAAAACTCGACTGGAACCGTTTGAGGTTGGAACTCCTTTTAACATGCGCTCACGTCTTCCTGGTTCGCCTCTGACACCCTTATCAGTTGGTTGCTTTATTGGCGCAGGCGAGTTCAAGCTCAAACGAGCTCTTTCTATTCAATCGACGCACTTCTGGTCATTAGCATATCAATGTATGACAATCACTCGAGATCAGCTAAAACAAAGTAGACTTCCTTTGGCAATGAATATTTTCGCAGATGTATTAGCGAATCAGCATGAATTCTCTCGAATCGCTCAGCTTTTTCCAGAAGGACGCCAATCAGAAATTGCATTTTCCAATGTTGGTAAATATCCATTTCCGTGCGAATATAATCATGGTGAAGTACGATTGAGTGGCATACATGTTATTAATAGTGTTAGCGGTTACCGTAATTCGTCAGGTGTGTACGCCACTTGTACTGATAATGGTCAATTAGACTTTGCTATGGCACATGAAATGGAAAGCAACGAGATTGCAAAACATTTTCTGGACTATTATTTATGTCTGATCGAGATTTGTGCAGATAGTGAACGTTGTAAAATCGAAACAACTTTAGGTGAACTGCTACAAATGGTCGAATTTCAATAAGCGTTGTACACACTAGACCCTATTGTTCTGCTCAGAAGAAACTTAAAAACATCCGATACAGGATGTCCACGCATAGTCCCTTCTCTCGAAACTTGTTTATTTGTGCATTTACAAAAGATTTGAAAATCAATTGTTCAGTTCAGATGATATTTTAATGAAATGAGAGATAGAAGAAAATATTTTCTTGAAGACGTGGGTGAGGGTGTGGCAGCAGATGCAGAAATAAGTGAATGCCCACACTCACACCCTCACCCTCATCGACTATTTGAGTATGAAATACCATTTCCTTCGCAGAGAGATGAATAGATGTAGAGGATGCTGACTGTGATCCAAATAGGTTGCAGCAGAGGAGGACTCTGGTCTGTTGTGTGATCATTTAATAGGTGGAATACTATAATATTTGTGTGTTATTGGAAAAATAAACAAGGCAATTGATAGAACGTGTTTTTAATATCTAGGTAAATCAAGGGTGTGGGTGTGGGCGTGAGTGTAGGTACACTAGCAGAATGGCTGTCAAACGCATACTCGCACCCTAATGATATGTTACTATATTGCGATCAAAAAGTGTTTGAGTTTTGATATTAGGGAAATTTACTTTGTCTATTTTGTAATTGTAGTATTTATTGTTTTACACCACTTAAGGATGAGAAAGTATCATCTCGGAACGGTCGGTTACGAAAGCCCAGTGTTTT